TGAATCTGAGATTCATTTCCTCTGCACTGAATCTCTTGTCTCCACATCTGAGCGTCTCCTTTGTCAAAAGCAGCTGCTCCCAGCACCTGTACAGGAGCCCCACAGTCCAGCTCTCTACACACAACCTCTGCATCCTACTGGTCAAAGGCAGCGTCACACACTGACATCCACGTCTGATCATGAAGTATCTCTAACCTCCCAGAGCAGCGAGAACCACCAACCAGCCTGACTTCTAAATAAAACAACACATATAAACAAAATTAACAACAACAAAGAAACAAACAAATCTTCATTTACAGATACTCAAGATAGTGATAACTGATAAATGTAAAAACATTTAAAAAATAAAATAAAAAAAATTATAAACCAGTAAGCGCAAACGTGTTACACAGATTTTATTTAGAGTATACAGTACTTTACCTGAGCAGATGGCTCCAGCATCTTTATTGTGATCACAGTTGTGTCTATCCCATCCTCCTGACCCACAGTTCTTTAGTGTGGACTCTGAACCCCTACACATAAGAAAACTCATCCAGATTCGTCCTGATCCTGGTCCAAAATGAGCATCACCCAGAGCATCTACAGGTTCTCCACACTCCAGCTCTCTACACACCACTGCAGCATCAAGCAAATCCCAGTCATCATCACACACTGTTCCCCACTGACCTCTATGAAGAACCTCCACTCTACCAGCACAGCGACTGTGACCATCAACCAACCTCACATTCACACAATCTATATATTGAGTTGAAGCAATGACAAAAAGATGATGGGATTAGAATGAGGATGGGAGAGGAAGAGAAAAATGTATGCATATGGTGACAAAGTGGGGCGACTATACAAATGGAACACCTAAGCTTTTAAATTTTTTCTCTGTATCATGCAGTGTATCTCTCTCTATATAAGCTTTTTTAATAAATGAAGCGCAAATCAATATAAGAAAAACAATTATAAAATAAAATAGTGATTTGGTATTCTGTAAATAACAAATAAACATGATGAGGCATTCTTCTTCATCATCTTCTTCTTCTTCTTCTTCTTATTATTATTATTATTATTATCTGAGACACCACATTAGTTACTCATAAATAAGCTTGACTGTGCTCCAAGATAGCATCTGAAAATAACTTCATTTGTTTCATTCCTTGTGTACTTACCAGCTGTGATGAGTATTACAACTGCAGACAGTAAAATGAGTATCAGGCATCTTCTCATCGTCCTCACCATGATCAACTTAACACCCTGTACAAGCTTCTCCGCACTGATGATACAGAAATACAGGAATCCTCTCAGCCCCCTTAATGAGAGAGAAAGAGGCCCAACACCCTCCAATCACACTCGCTATTACCTTATTAGACACAACAGAGGAAATCATCAAACAACTTGAGTGACAAATCAGAGGACGCATTTCTGATTTTCTCCATATATATCAAAACTGTCAATGCTGATGAACTCCACCTCCCCAATACATCAAGGCGCCTGACTGAGGGGATGCGCACACACACACACACACACACACACACACATACACAAACACACGTATGATACTTACAGGAGGCAGGAAACTCTCCAGTTTATATACAGCATCAAAGCCCAACACCTGCAGAGACTAGATAAAAGCACTGATAACTAATGGCATATGTCCTAAAAATGTCTATTAGTGTAGCCTATACATATGTTAGCACGACATTAACACATAATAAACTCAACGCAGTAAAATTAATAATATTGTAAAATGGCTTTAAAAATTACCTAATTTACCTAAATCCACAAGTGGTTTCAGATGGCCCACAAAAACCATAACTGTCATTCAGTGAAGATAAGCAAGTTGTTCACTTTGTGAACAGCAGAGAGAGTATGTGAGCTCCATTTCTGCTTGTTACTTTACATCTTTCTTTGGATCTGAGCTTTCTTTTTACTACTAGCAAATGAGTCTGAACTCCACCCTGTAGAGTTTATATGCTGTGCTGACACCATCTACAGAAAAGCAGTAATTACATCATCATTGGATGTGCTCTTTTTCACCACCTGTTAATGCTAGATTAGCGCAAGCAAGGAGAATATCTTCATTTATCAATATAAGAAATAAAGTTTTAAGGTGGTTTCAGCAGTTATCCAAGAAAGCATACGTTTTATGTGTTTGATTTAGCTTGTTTGATTTTCAAGTCCAGAGTAAAATCCAACACAACATTAAGTTCTAAAATAATTTTATAATGAACGTATAATTGGCCTACGTTTGTTGTCAAAGTTAACGTAGGCTAATTATAAAAAATCCCCACTGTCCCCAATGTGAAGAAGACACTGTGACAAATTATGTGATGAAATACGTGATGCACGTTTGTCTTTATCCTGCCAGTTATGGACTGACTCAGCACCGGATCTTTAAAGGGATAGTTCACTCAAAAATGAAATTTGCCCCATAATTTACTGTATGAAAATATTTGCATACTGGAATGCTTGGGTAAGATAATGTAACATTACAACAGCCGTCTGTGCCGCCTTCATTTACTTGTTTCATCACTTTTTGCTTTAATTCTCGGGCACTGACTTAAAAACTGAGCATCCAATCAAAGTTCTCACTCTCGCCGACAGCCTCGATGCCGATTCGTAAACTGCCGCCAACGTAAGCACGACGAGAGCTGTCGTGGGGAAAACACAAATCAAACTAGCCCGACAGACGCTTGCCGACGGCCCGATGTTCCAACACTTTTTCAATCCCAACTTGTCACATATTGACGCTTGGTCAGGACATTTTTCGATGCACAGGGATATCCTTTTAGTGTCACTTTTTTCGACGTGCAGGGTCCTCCATTGTTCCCTCTCAAGTTTTCATGAGACATCACGGAGACATTTCTCCTTTATGGGAATTCCTTCCCTTCCAACCTTTCCTGAAGTCCTATTGGCTCACGCCAGTCCAAATGACTGGCCAATTGTCGCGAAGTATGCAAATCGCATGCAAATACTGACGAGCTCGAGAGGCAGTATAAAATGCAGTGCACGTGACAATTACGTCAGAATCTTCTACTTCACCTGTTGAATTCACTATGGCAACAATCTGCAAGATCTGCATGGGACCAATAGAGCCGCCGGATCAACACGACCACTGCGTCGCCCGCCTGGGCCTGGCCCACGCCGAGGCGGTGGATCTGCATGGGACCAATAGAGCCGCCGGATCAACACGACCACTGCGTCGCCCGCCTGGGCCTGGCCCACGCCGAGGCGGTGCTGGACGAGTCCGACTGCGGGCAGTGCTCCGGACCCGCTGCGATGTGGCTCACGGCCTATTCGGGGTGAGGCCCACTGCTGGCAGCTTCCCCAGCTTCGCGCTGATGGCGACAAAGCGAGCAACCCAGGCCGTGAGGTAAGGCCATGGGTTTTATGGTCGTGTTCAGAGGCACCTATGGTTAAACCTGGCTGACCTCAAGGATGCTGACCGTAAAGTGCTGCTGAACGCTCCTGTGACTCCCACCGGCCTCTTTGGTGACGCCGTGGAGTCCATTGTTGAGCGTTTCGCGGATGTTCAAAAGTGCACCAAAGCCATGAGTCACGTGATGCCGAGGTGCGCTTTCCAGCAGCAGACAGCGAGATCCAGGTCCTCGTCGGCACCTGGCTCTTCCCAATGGAGGGATAACCCCATGCCAGCGAACACGGCGGTGACTGCTACTGCTCCTCGCCAGGAGCCGGATGTCCGGAGGAAGGCATGGGGTCCCAGGAGGAAATGCCACAGCCAGCGGAGAAGCCCGTGACGTGACTCTCGCCCGCCGCCGGCTGCTAAGCAGTCATCCTGACGGTCTGAAGAGAGGAGGAGAGTGCGCAAGCGGCCCGGCTGCCAAGTGCCACAAGTTCATGTTTACAAATGTATGTGTTGGATGTTCATTCAATAAAAATGCATACATTCTCACAAAAAGAGCTCTTTCCTCCTCACTCAGTCAATGCGGCGCCGCTCGCCCCGCCTCAGAGCAGTGCAGAGCCGCCGCCCACACAGGTTATAGTTGAGCAGCACTCGCCGGCGCATTCAAAGACCAAGCTGCTAAAGCAGCTATGTCAGTTCTTGAGCACATGGGAAGTTATTCAGGGAATCTCGCGCTGGCTACTAGGTGTGATAGAGCGTGGGTATACCCTTCAATTCAGATGCAGACCACCCCGTTTCAATGGCGTGGTGCAGTCTCTAACATTGCCTCGAAATGCCCTGGTTCTGAGACAAGAGGTATGCAGTCTGTTCGAAAAAGGAGCAATAGAGCGAGTCCTTCCGAGCGAGCTGGAGAGCGGGTTTTACAGCCGCTATTTCGTGGTACCCAAAAGAGACGGGGGACTCCGCCCGATTCTAGATCTCAGGCCCATCAACAGAGCGCTTTGCAAGCGTCCATTCAGGCCATTTCAGACTGGGCAGCTCTGTTCACTTGAAGGAATTTCAGAGGCTGTTGGGACTCATGGCGTCTGCTTCAGCGGTATGTCATCTGGGCTTACTACACATGCGCCCACTGCAGTTATGGCTGAAATCTCGATTCCCTTGGACGGCGTGGACTTCGGGGCGTTTGTGCATCGCAGTCACTCGCGGCTGCATCAAAGCTCTGAGGCCGTGACGCAACCCAGATCTCTTCAGCCGGGGGGTTCCCCTGAGCTTGGTGGCGTCATGATGGACGAATCGACTCGCGAATGGTGAGCAGTGTGCAAGGGCATGCCGGCTTCGGGGCTGTGGTCAGAACCTCAGAGCCGGTGGCACATAAACCGCTTGGAGCTTGGAGCTAAGTCAGAGGAGCTGAGCGCCCTGCATTCTCATGTGCTCGACATGCTCTCTCCTTCACGAGGCGTTTGTATGCTCTAAAATTGGGGAGTGTTTGTGAAATGGTGCCCTGATCATATTGACCCGGCTGCTTGCTCCGTGTCGGATGTTCTGTGTTTTCTACAGTACAGGCTGGATAGTGGATCTCTACCGTCAACTCTGAAACCTCTCAAAACTGCACTTCTTCTTGCACTCGCTTCGGCTAAGTGCATAGGGGATTTTCATGCGTTTTCTGTGGACAGCCACTGTATTCGCTTCAGACCTGGTGACTGCAGCGTCACTCTCCGGCAGAGACCGGGCTACGTGCCTAAATCACTATCTACCCCCTTCAGAGCGACACTCAACAAGGGCTATCGGCACCTCCTGGGCGTGGTCGAGAGGCATGTCTATTCAGGTTATATGCTTTGCAGCCGGCTGGTCTTCTCAGAATACCTTCGCCAGGTTTTACACATATTATCGCCACGTGATCTCGTAATGTGAGCGACAGAGTGACAAGGTGGAACTAATCCAGCCAATCACAGTGCAGATGGCATAAACACTCTTATCATGCATCTTTATGAACCGAAACGAAAAGCTACAAATGAATCAAATCAACTAACTAGAAATAAATTTAACAAATGCACAGATTGTGTACATAATACCACGTTTCATTGTACTGTTTAATTACCTCCAACTCTTTCTGCAGTACTAACAGTCCTTGTTGTCCACGTCTTCCAAGCCATTGTTTCTGCCATATTCTTTTTTGTTGTGGTTTCTTCTTTCTTTCCAATAAAATAACTGCACAGACCAATTAAAGGGCTAGTTGATAGTCCATGCTTGGAGATATGCCTTGGAGATAATCGCTTTCTCACGAGAATTTATGAGAGAAAACGTATTTTCGCTGATGGTCGGGAGCGCCTCTTCACTGAATGTTTTGTAGTGTGTGCACGCGTCCCAGTCCGCCGACCCGGTCTTCTTCCTTCCTCCCTCTTGAACCATATCACACCTACCTATTTACCTGTAGCCTCAAAATGTTAAATAATGTACTTTTATTTCCAAAAAAAATTTAGGCATGCAACAGCAACATCTGTGGGATGTTTCTTTTAGGTTTAGCCTCTCATAAATTGTACATTTGATGGCAGGATTCAAAAACTGCCCAATACAACCAGGCCACATTAGAAGCCAGTTGAAAATCTGTGGCGGTAAGGGTCAACTTAGAAGAAACACCAAAGGTTTCACTAAAATAATTAGTGGGTGTCATATTACAGCAGCAGCAATCTGATTGTAGCAGCGAGAGATTCTTAACGGGAGGACAATTTTTATCAATAACCTATAATAACATGCAATTAAATCCATAGATTTAATGATGAAAAATGGTGTTATTTAGAATTGCTCTAATCTTACAGGCAAGTAGCCTACAAACCTCTTTGAAGTTTCTATTACTGCATTTCATCTGTATCCTCGAGATGGCAGTAAAAGACCATAAAATCCACAGAAAGAAAGTTATTACCTGTTGTTCACTTTGACACCAGCAGGGGACTGAAATCACACAACATAAAATGGATTAATCTAAACTGATTTATAGACTTCTTTTTTTTGTCTGTCTGCCTGCCTGTCTGTATAGACAAACATAAATCAGATCGTAATGTCCAAGTCAATAGCATTTACATATAAAAACCAGCATAAACGGCTAGTAGCCTATTTATATCTATCTTGTCAGTCTATAGTACTTTTGTAACATGGAGAGCGTGACAACAGAGTTGAGGATCCAAATGCAAGGCTTTATTCACAAACGTGGTCAAAACAGGCAGGGTCGAGCACCAGCAAACAGTGTAATCCAATATACAGGCAATGGTCAGGGCAGGCAGCAATCAATCAAAAAACAAAGAAACAGTCCAAGGATCAAAAACACAGGTAAACTAGGAAACACAGAAAGGGTAAACTTGGAAACTAGAAACAAGGAATGGCTATACAATAATCACTCCTCTTGGGTGGGTGTAAGCATCTTTTATACTAGACAAGGTGAACACATGACAAAACCAACAAATGAAAACAAGACACATGCAACCAGGGAACCAATCAGAAAATGACACATGCAAACCAGGAACCAATCAGAACATAACACACATACAAGGGTAGAACATGACAAGATCACATAAGGGGCAAGGAACACATGGGAAATGGAGTCCAGAGTACAGGGGCAAGAGTCTGAGGTGGAGTGCCCTTTAATGGAGTTCATGGGCACTCCAGCTGGCGATTGTAACAACTTTAGACTGCATACTAAAGTTTGAACTTCTTTTTTTCTGTTAAACAATTTTGAGTTAACAGAAAAAACTTCTGAAAAAAAAAAAACTTAAAATATTAAAGTTAACAATATAAAAAAATATATAGCCTATTCTAAATTACAAATTCCACAGCAAAGGCAATGGAATGATCGAGATGAATGAATCAGATATTATTCAGATTTCATACATTTTTTACTTATTTTATTTTACTTATTCATTTCTCATCCTTAATTAATGTTCTCTGTATGCAGAACAATTCAGGAATCAGGAGTAGAGTAATCAGTAAAAATGTTGTTTGATTAAGTATCACTTGCACACATTTTTGTCATATTTAGCAGTGTAATTTTTAGGCGAGACATGTAATTCTTGGATCCCACCAGGCAATTGTATTCTTATGACAATTGTTTTAGACTACAACACAGCCAGTGAATAACATTTATGCAAACACCTTATTTTAGGTTGATCATGAATGCTTTCTAACATACGGTGACGCATTGCTGCCACACACATATTATTTTTTCCACTATTTCAGCACTTGACAAACGGATAGGGACTCCTAAGTAGCACCTAAAGCACGGCTACGTGCTATTGCGTTGTGCATTTTTGGGAAATGCACGTGAAACAATAACCAACGATCGTAAAATGACTCGTAGAAAACGCTCTTAAGGCGGGCGTACACGGTGCGATTCTGAAGGTCGGAACGTCGTGAGCTCTGGCACATGTCACGATTGAGTTTATCCGAAAATAGTACGGAGGCAGTCACAC